ACCATACATGTATGTTCAACTGACTTTTTACAAAAATGCCAAAAGTAATATAATGGGGAAAGTACTCTTTTCAAAAAATGGTGCTTTAACATACGGTTAAAAACATAAACCTCAACCCTTAACTAGCACAAAAATTACCCAAAATATATTACAGATCTAAATATAAAAGCTAAAACTATAAAAGTACTGAAAGAAAAGACAGGAGAAAAATCTAAGTAAACTTGGAGTAGGCACAGAATTGTTAGGACACTAAACTCACTAACCATAAAAGAAAAAGAAATTATAAACTAGATAAAATTTAAAACTTCAGCTTTTCAAAAGACACCATCAATAAGAAGGTATAGTCAGGGAGTTTAGGATGGACATGTACACACTGCTATATTTAAAATGGATAACCAACAAGGACCTACTGTACAGCACAGGGAACTCTTATCAATGTTATGTGGCAGCCTGGATGGGAGGGGAGTTTGGGGGGAGAATGGATACGTGCATATGTATGGCTAAGTCCCTTTGCTGTGCACCTGAAACTATCACACTGTTAATTGGCTATACTCAGAAATAAAATAGAAAGTTAAAAAAAGAAAAAGAAAATGAGGGACTTCCCTGGTGGCCCAGTGGTTAAGACTCCACGCTTCCAATGCAGGGGGCGCAGGTATGATCCCTGGTCGGGGAACTAAGATGCCACATGCCGCATGGTGCAGCAAAAAAACAAAAAAGAAAAAAAGATGAACAAGCAAGCAAAAGGAGTGGAAGAAAATACCTGCAATATATGTATGTAGACAAGCGCCAGGAAACTGGACATATATGAAGAATTTTTACTTTTCAGTAACAGGCCTAATCACCTAGTTTTAAAAATCTACAAAAGCCTTAAACTGAAAATTTACCAAAAATGAGTAAGAATAGCCAATAAGCACAGGAAAAGATGCCCATTATTATTCATCGGGGAAATGAAAATTAAAATCATGAGATACCTCTTCAAACATGTTAGAACGGCTAAAATTAAAGACTAACACCACCCAAATTAGTGAGGACGTTAACGCGAATTCTCATACACTGCTGGAGGGAATGCAAAATGGTACACCAGGGTAAACATACACTTATGACACAAACCAGGAATTCCAATTCTAAGTATTTACCCAAGGAAATGAAAACATATTGACATAACGACTTGTCTACAAATATTTATAACTGTTTTCTTCATAACAACCCCAAACTGAAATCAATAGTAACTTTCATCAACAGGTGAATATTGTATACAGATCTTAAATCTTAAATCCTGTCATTATATATTGTACTCGAAATGTGATTAATACTTTTCTCCAAGAACCAAAAGAAATCAGCTCCCAGAATTGATAGTTATATCTTACAGACTGCCAGTTAATAAAGAGAGAACTGATGGACTCATATTTTACTCACTTGACCCCTTTCAAAAGTGTGCTCTCAGTATTCTTTAAAAATAGCTCTTAGAGCTTGCTACTCTTTGGCTGAACAGTACATCCACACTACAAAATATTGCACAATGTTGTAACATTTCTCCAAGATCAGTTTGTCTCCTGACTTCACGTACCAATATGTACCTAAAGAAAATGTTTTCTAAGCTCTTCCCTCTTTCCTGGACATTACTGCATACTAAGAAAATGAAAGTCGGGACTGAGGTAGTAAACCAACTTTAGCTTGTGGTCACTCACCCTCATTCCTTCCAACTGGTAGCCTTACAAAAGTTTGAACCGATGTTCTCAATGGAGGCTTGGTGGCTAGTGTAATTGTGTCTAAGCATTTACAAATTATATGTTTGTTGCTATAAATTAGCTTTGTTTCTTCTTTAAAACAGTCAAACCATTATGTTGAGTTTTGTAAAAAATACGTGTTAGAAAAGACTTGCTTTCTATAAATTTCATTTAGGATATAACAAAGGGAGCAGCAAAAAGTACTTAATAGAAAGGGAAACTAGGTCTGATACTGTGGAGAACACTACACCTTGAATTTTTAATTTTCTAAAGAATCCTCTTTGATCAACTGTACTTTGGAATATAATACAGCTTGAGCTAAAAAAAACCTCAACCCCCCCCCCCCAAAAAAACTAGGGTTTATGATTATACTCTAGAACTCTAAAATTATGACATATTGGGCTCTCTGGGGTGAGAGGCCTAGAAATCTAGATTCTCAACAAGAATACCAGGTGATTCTAGTAGAGCTAAAATTTGAAAACCCCTATCTAAATCTAAAAGAGTATAATTGCAACACATGTGGCTTCAACAAAACTTGTTTGGCCTACTGAACGGGTCTACAGTGAGTGAGTGAGTGAGTGAGTGAGTGTGTGTTTAATTACTTGCCAATATCTAATGCTAGAAAAACTTTACATAAAATCCAGACTCCAGACTTCTCGTTAAAAAATAAATAAATAAAAGATCCTCCAACCCTGGCCCTGTGCTATCACAGGACAATCTGGGGCAGCTAAGTACCGTTTGCTCCCCTTTCCTTTCACTCCCCACCATTCCCTATTATTTTACCCCAGGCTCATAGTTCTCCATCTCAATTACTTGCTTAGCTCCTGAAGGTATTGTAGTTTGACCTATGATGCCTGTACCCACAAGTTCATTAGGAGAATGAAGAACAGAGATAATCAAATGAACCCTATTTATTTACAGTTGATCCTTGAACAAGTTTGGGGTTAGGAGTGCTGACCCGTCCGCAGCTGAAATTTCGAATATAACTTACAGTCGGCCCTCCCTATCACCAGTTCCGCATCCTCGGATTCAACCCACCACAAATCTTGTACTACTCTAGTATTTGCTATTGAAAAAAATCTGTGTATAAATGCACCCTTGCAGTTCAAACTGTGTTGTTCAAGGGTCAAGTGTAGTTCTGAAATATATTGCCTAAACTTTTGTTACAGCTAGTATTAAAATAAGATTGCAAGGAGAGAGGAAGGGAGAAAATATTCAAGTTATTAAGACTCAGGATAGTATTTTTAATTTATTGAAGATAGCCCTAACTATTTTTTAGAGGTGTATGTGAAAGTATCATTTAACAAAGGCTGCTTCTTTCTTAGTATAAAAACAAAAACATTATCTTCCAATTTAAATGCTTTCCTGAACTCTTGCTTACAATACAAACACAAAGATAAAAAATATTTGGAGACTGGAACATTTTGAGAACTCTACATAATTGCAAACTTGCCTCAGAGTTGAGGATCAGAGCTTTTATTACCCACGTTCTCATTCATTCAGATCTAAATGTCATGGCCTGGCACACAATACATCTTAATTCTAGAATTATGCAAAATTTAGTTCCTAATTGGCTACTGGCCCATTTAATCATTTAAAATATAAATAAAAGAAACCCTTAAACGTGTCTAAAAATTAAGAACTAAAATTTAAGTTTCACCTGTACTAACTTCCAACAGGTGGGCCATGTCAGAGCAAATCAGCGTGAAGGATCTGAGATTTTACCCTACTTGTAAACTAACAAAGTAGCTTACCACGGATGCTGGTTGAAGACAGGAGACTTGTGGGTCAGATACAAAGGGCAGTTTGTTACTTCCAGTAATAATATAAGCCAAAGTGTCAACATTTTTGCACTGGTTTCCAGAGGCCCGGTTCCCACCTGGCAAGGTGAAGAGGGGCAGTTGATGCTTGCACAGGCAATGGGTTGTGTTGCAGAAGAGGAAACCTAAGCCTAGGGAACCCTCATCTTTTATGATGGGCAATAAGCATGCCTGCCTTTCACTCCAGAAGGAGACATCTATCTTTATTATACTGCACCAAATGCATGGGTATTCTTTGCTCTGGTGGAAGACACTATCTCTACCTTCCAAGGCTCTTCCTTATACAAACATCCTTTAAAAACAGAAACAAAGGGCAGTCAGTACCTCCCCTGGTAAGACCTGCAGAAACAGAGAAACCCACGGAAAACTGTCTCAACTAGACACTGTTCCTAACATATAATTAAATCAAGAATCTAACACTACAACCTATTTAAAAGCATCAATTTCATATGTTCTTTGACCTAGCTCAACTGTTTAATCTGCATTTTATCTCTAATTAAATCAACTAGTCCCTTAAAAAAGGCAGTATATATTAAAAATGAATTATTTCCACTTATTTTGTATTTTTTAAACGGAGGTGCTCAAATATTTCAATATAGACATTTAAAACCTCAATTATTCTACTAGAAACAATTTACTGTGCTTACTTTAAGTGTTTCAAACCTGTTAACGTTAGCAATGGGAACTACCTGTCAAAAGTCTCATCATATAGTAACAAACACCACAAAGAGAACTTCAACATTTCCAGCTGCTGTCCACAAAATACAAGAAAACGCAGCACCCCAAATCACTTTGTTGTTTCTCTTTACCATTTACAGTCTCAAAATAAAATCTCCGAAAGAGAAGGAAAACAAAACACCGTCTCTTAGTTCCTTTGTCCCCATCGGAGAGGAGAGAACTGGGGGCTCATTAAGGTAAATAACCCAAAACATGCAAGACAAAAAATAGACGGCATCAGATCTGTAATCAATCATCAAAGAAAGTCACCATCACTTCATCTTTATCCCTCCCTCCCCCTCTCCAGCTCAAATAACATGGGTACGTACGAGATGATTAGGATCACATGGACCTGGACAAAGCTTTGGGGAGGCAGAGGGCAGCGGTTAACTAGATGCAGTAGTCAAAGGACCCGAGATACAGACTACAGCAGACTCCGACAGAGGTTTTCAAAAGTGCGGGTCGCATGGGCCATGCACCGGGGGGGAGAATGCTGGGGAGCAGCAGCAGCAGCGCTGCCAAGTCTACAGCGCCGGTGGAAGTTGCTCGCGGGGCGCGCGGTACGCCGCACAACGCGCGGGCCCTCCATGTCACCGCCGGCAGCACAGACCCTCCTCGCCCCTCCCCCGCCGCGCACCCCGGGCGGCGGCGACATGACAGCGGGTCGCTGCGCCGCTCCAGGGCGCCGGCCTGCCCGGGCTCTCCACCGCCTACCGCGCCCGCACCCGCCTCTCACCTTGGGTAGCGAACGGCGAGGAGCCGCTGACCGGCGAGCCGGGGGCGGGGACGGGCGGCGGGGTCTCGGCCGAGCCCAGCATGGGGGCGGGCAGCATGAGGTAGCGCTGGGGCGCGGGCAGGCAGCGCTGGCAGAAGGAGTGCAGGCAGGGCAGCAGCTTGGGCGCCCGGCTCTGGATGTTCTGGTGGCACACGGCGCAAGTGTCCAACAGGTTGAGCCGGGCCGCCTCCCCTCCGCGCTCCGAGTCGGGGCCCTGCCGACTCTCGGCCTCGTTCTCCCCGCTCGGCGGAGCCGAGGGCCCCCCGGCGGCCGCCGCCGAAGCCGCCGCGGCCGCCGTCGCCGCCTTCTCTACAGCCACCTCCATTGTCCTGCCCCCGCCGCCGCCGCCGCCGCCGCCGGGAAAGGAGGAGCGGGTTCTCTGCCCGCCGCCGCCCCCGACGACTTCCTTCTCTTTCTCCTCCCAGGCCGCCCGGGTGACTCGTAGGAGAGGGAGGGAGGCCAGGGCCAAGAAAGCCTCCTCAGGCCCCGGGGATCCGCCTCCCGGGTGGCGCGGCCGGAAGAAGGGGATCTGTCAGTGGGGACTGCTCTTCGAACCGGAGAGGCTGCGCCCCGTCCGCTTCGCCAACCGCCGCTGCTCTCGTCAAAACCGCCCAGCCCGCCCTCGCCTCCCGGCCTTTCTCTCGGGCCCCAGGACCCACCTCAGGCCCCGCCCCCTCCCTCCCTCTCCCAGCAACCGAGGCGACTGCAAGGAGTGCGCTGCCCAATAGCCGCCGCGCCTGGCCGGGGGGCGGGGCGTGCGGAAGCCCGCGAGGCTCGGACGGCCGCTGCGGGAGGCTGAGAGGTGGGAGGTAGCTTGCCCAGCCCCGCCCACCGAGCTCCTGGAACCGCGGCCTCTGATTGGGCCTTTGTGTGTGTTTCGCTCCTCTAAAAAGATTAAGGGTTCATTTGTTAACGATCGACCACCTAATTCGGTCCGCCTGTGTTAGCTCCTCCTATGGGGCGGGGCTTCACTGTGTCTGCCCGACATTGTAAATTAAGTAACTGCTGCTAAAAACTCATTTTACTACTGCAGACAGGGGTCCTGTAGGAGGAATAAATATGGTGGGAGGATAGAAGGATGACGAAGTGGAGAGAGTGAAAAGCAAAGGAAAGAATTTTAAAAAACGGGAAAATGTTGTGTAGAAAAGATGTTGTGGAGGAGGTATGGATTTTGCCACCTGAATTTACTCATCTCTATGATGAATTGCGAGCATGAAGAGTAAGAGGGGAGGTTCTCTTGCAAGTCGGGAATTTTTAAAGGGTTTCCCCAATGAAAAAGGTGAAATTAATTTTTAAAGTCAGCGATTTGCTTTTTAAGTGAATAAAAATGGTTCATTTTCCAAGGAGTTAATATATAAAGATTGTTTGAAAGTGTTTTATTGCATAAACATGGCATCATTACAAGAAATAGAAACAAATGTCAATACTGATAGCCAAATAATTCTAAAATATTATTTTTCATCCCCCCAACCCCACCCCACACTTATATCAGAAGTTACACATATTTTCACTCTAAAAATGGCCAAAGGGCAAACTCTAGGCATCCTAGCTCTCCCTCAAGACCTTACCTTTCCCAAATTATTCCTCTCCTAGCAGCCTCTTTCCCAAACAGATCCTTAAATCCAATTTCCATAGGCCTCCAGAGTGAAGTTTTCCTTCTTAATGACATTCAAGGGCTATTTATTTCGTATAGTAGTAGTTTCTTGAACCTTAGTTTGCATAAGAATCACCTGGCAAATTTACTTAGACGCTGATCCTTGGACCCCTCCCCATATTCAATTTTAGCAGCATTTCCTGATTGTGATGTGGATGGTCCAGGAACAGCTTTAGAGCAACAATTTTCTTATCCCACCTGTTATCCCTCCAAATTTCATCCCCATACACCTCTTAAGCTGAAGCTCCCACTACTTTATGCTCCAGCAATTTTAACTCTTCCCTGCTTTGGACATGCTTTTCCCCTTGTTTTGAAATGCCCTTCCCTCTGTACCCTATGTTTTTGTAGCTGTACCTTGAAAATCTTCATATAGTAGGAAAGCAAATTCTGCATTAAAAGTAATGCTTTTAATATGCTAATAATTCATTGTAGAGGTGGTATACAGGATTCAAGCAGATGAAAGACAAGTGCCTTGTATTCCTTCAGATGATGGCAGTGGAGGAGAAAAGAATAAGAAGTAAATTGGGGAGGCTTGTTTGGAGAGAATTCCATGCAATTTAATACAACCCACTAGTTCAGTTTCTCAAATCATCATGGATAATCAGTTTTAGAGAAAACTATTTTCCATATTCTTAGATTTCCTAGTCTCATGTAATTAAAACAATCATGTTTTACTTTGTTCAAATATATACGGCTTCTGGGTTTTTTTAAGTCCAGAAAATGAATTTATTGTTTTAGGGGTTTTTTTGTTGTTTTTTTTTTGCCGTACGCGGGCCTCTCACTGATGTGGCCTCTCCCGTTGCGGAGCACAGGCTCCAGACGCGCAGGCTCAGCGGCCATGGCTCACGGGCCCAGCCGCTCCGCGGGACGCGGGTTCCTCACGGACCGGGGCACGAACCCGTGTCCCCTGCATCGGCAGGCGGACCCCCAACCACTGCGCCACCAGGGAAGCCCTAGGTTTTTTAAATCACAATTATCTTATCTATATATCGTCCTCCCAAATGTATTGCAAAAATATTTCACAGAGATCCACACTTATTCTTCCTTAATTACAGCTCTCTATTGCCCTCTCTTTTTCTATAATTTCTATGGCTCCCCGCTGCATCCAAGGCTCTCCACAATTTCATCCCTGCCTGATAGCCTCATTCGATCTTCCTGCCTGATCCTCACTGCTTTCGCATACCCATTCTAAGCTTCAGCCTAATTGGATGGCTTGTCATTTTCTAAACTTCACCAGCACCACTTCTATCACCACTTCTTAGAGAGGAGATACAGGTTGCCTGTGCTGGAAGAGAAGGGAGTCTGCAAGGAGAGCAAGAGCATTAGATGCTGGTGAGGATTTCTCACACCCACCCCTTAAAAGGTAGCAATGGTTGGAAATTCTTGAACTTCCAAGGAAGTTTAACAAAATTATTTTTGAGTAGAACTCTCAGACCTGTTGTGACACAGGTTTGGACAAGAAGAGTTTGAGAGTACCCCTTCGCTCAATCTCCTATAGCTTTAAAGGAAAAAGGAAAGATTGCTGTCCCTTCAGTAGTAGTCCAAAGGTTTGGACGACTTGAGGCTTCATTGTTAGGACAAGGAGGATGCAGTGTGCAGGGACCAAAGACTGTCCTGCATTACCTCAGCGGCTTCCGGAGAGATGTCAGCAGTCGAGAACCAATGGAGGCAAGGCACATTCTATGTATGCCACCGTAAACCAAGGATGCCCAAGGACCCAGTGTCTCTCCCACATATGCCATGGCCCTATTTCGGCCTCGGATCTTCAAATTGGTCCTAGATAGAAGGAGAATGAATATTGTATTGACTGACTTAAAATCTGAAATGATGACCAAAACCAAAATAGAAACAAAACCTAAAGTAACTGAGAATATGACTAGATTAAATTTTCTGCTATCAGAAAAATGTTAAATTCCGTTATTTAAAAAAAATGTTTATAGGGAATTCCCTGGCGGTTCAGTGGTTAGGACTCTGCACTCTCACTGCCGAGGGCTGGGTTTGATCCCTGGTTGGAGAACTAAGATTCCACAAGCCACAAGGTGAGGCCAAAATAAAATAAATAAATAAATATTTTTTAAATTAAAATAGTTTATGGTCTGTGTACTACTTGGTGATGCAGTAAAGGGTTAACTCAGTGAGGGTGGGTTACACAATCATCCTACATATTCAACAGAAAGAACTGGTCCTTGAATAACTCCTGGGAGATGATCTCTGAACTGTTATCTTACCTAATAAGAGTATGTTTGTAAGTTTGAAGTTTTGAGCCACACTCTATCAGTTTGATCTGATACTAACAAGGCTAACACCGGTTTTTGCATACCTGAGGCCCTGGGCCATGCTGTGTCAGTTTGACCTCTGAGGGGCTGGAGACTAAGTAGTTAAGATCAGTTACACAGGTGCTACGTGGCTTCACAACTTACCCCCAATTAAAATCCTGGATATCAGGGCTTGAGTGAATTTCCCTGGTTAGCAACATTTTGCACGTGTTATTATGTAGTTGATTGGAGAATTAAGGCTACTTGTGGGATGCCACTGGGAGAGGACAATTGGATTCTTGCTCCTGGTTTCTCCTGGACTTTGCCTATGCACCTTTCCCCTTTGCTGATTCTAAGCTGTATTCTTTTGCTGTAATAAACTGTAACTGGGAGTGTAGAAACTTTCTGAATCTTGTGAGTCCTTCCAGCAAATCACTGAAACTGAGGGTGGTCTTGGGGACACCCAACACAAAAGGCATGTTATTTTTTCCTACTAGATTATAATTCCTTGAGGCTAAGAACCATTTCTTCTCTTCTGTATTCCTTTAATATCTCACATGTTTCATGGAGGCCAAAAATCTACAGCTTGCTTCCTCCTGCTTTAGTCCTCTCATCCTCTGCTCCTTTCCAACTATTTGCCTTGATTATGGTTCCTTTCCTCAAATGTTTTGCTCTTGTGAGCCATCTGCAAAAGAGTAAGTAAGGTCCAGGACAGATATTTGCAGGTGATTTTCCATTTCCCTGAACACCTCTCCTCCCCAATGGTTTTTTTTCTTCCAGGTAAATCATGTTTTCAGAATGTTACCTGCAGAAGAAAAGAAGTTGGATATGGGCTAGAGAGTAATAGGAGAAGGGGTATATTCATCCCCTTGTTTGAAGGACATGTGTAACACAGAGGGCTGTAAACTGAATATTGACTCATGAGGCTCTAGTCAACTTACTACCTTTCTGAATAGTTGGAGAGAATCAGCTTAAGAACTGAAAACAGGGACTTCCCTGGTGGTCCAGCTAAGACTCTGTGCTCCCAATGCAGGGGGCCCAGGTTCGATCCCTGGTCAGGGAACTAGATCCCACATGCTGCAACTAAAAGTTTGCATGCTGCAGTGAAGATCCTGTGTGCTGCCACTAAGACCTGGCACAGCCAAATAAATAAATACATAAATTTTTTTTTAAAAAAAAAGAAGAACTGGAAACAATACCTGAGCAAACTGTTCTGGGACTATGTGGGGGAAGAGAGAAGCTCCACATTTTAATAGTCTGCCTGCTCTGTGAAGGCACTTTTTTTTTTAATTGAAATATAGTTGACTTACAATGTTGTGTTAGTCTCAGCTGTACAGCAAAGTAATTCAGATATATATATATAAATATATATATACATACACAGATATATGTGTATATATACGTATATTCTTTCTCAGATTCATTTCCATTATGTTATTACAAGATATTGAGTATAGTTCCCTGTGCTATACAGTAGGCTATTGTTGGTTATCTATTTTATATATAGTAGTAAGTATCTGTTAATCCCAAGCACCTAATTTATCCCTGCCCCCCATCCCCCTTTCCCCTTTGGTAACCATAAGTTTGTTTTCTATGTCTGTGAGTCTATTTCTGTTTTG